CATCATATGTCAACTACAGTGCCTCTCTAGCTCTGGTCATTTTTTGACTCACTATTTTATGGAGATTTTGTATATCTATTATAACTTCATCATTGTCTTTCTTGAATGTCTCCAAACGTTTTATAAGAATTGAATTGTGTTACCTACATCATGTTTCTTATGTTACTTTATTTTGTCTAAGTATGTTGGCTTTCATTTTAGGTATATAATTTACAACAGTATAACCTTTACAAATTAATAAGGTTTGGAGAGTTTATTCTGTATTTTGCATTTTTCTTCTTACTAATATGTGAAAGAAAAAGGAGAATACATTTTGGAAGTTGGTTGATTTTCCCTTTAGGTATAAAAGTGAAATTATTTATCAGCTCAAGCGAAAATTTTGTTTGAATGGTCTCATTGAATTTCATGATTTTAATTTGTTGGTATCCTGTTTGTTTGCATGTATTGCAGATGAGGCCAATTGAAACTAGACAAGGGAGATGAAGTTAATCCAACAAAATATATTAGAATGGATAAGCAATATTCTTCTTCTCTTTCTACATAACAAACAAACAAAACGGATGTAAAATTTTCTACGATGCGACAAATTAATGATATACTCAAGATTCACCACCAAAGTTCATAAATATATCAAATATATAACCATCTAGTTGAAATGCCTTGATTGAGGATGCAAGAGGATGATGCATCATGGAATCATAGCAAAACAATGAATGCAAGATAATTCACCATCAAAGTTTACAATTTTTTGAATATGTTCGTAATCATAACTCAATAATTTATAACTAGTTATTATTGAGTTAAAATGTCCAGATTATAATGATAAAGGACGACTGTTACGTGTTGTCAAGATAAAATGTCTGCCAATTATACAAGATAATGAGTCATCATGCCAATCGACGAAGTGAGAAAGCATTGGAAAAGAACTTGGCATGGCTGTGGATGCATCATATACATCCACGTTAACCAATGAATATAAAGATGATGGATATTATGTCCCATTGAGATTTGATGGGTCATAAACTTTTGGGATCACCGAGTCATCAATTTTAGGGTTACCATGAAAGTGAAGGAAAGAAGCATCAAGTATATATAATGACTTCCTTTTTCATTTGTAGGGTATATAATTTGATATAATAACTCATAAGTGGATACGTGGCAATGTTCTCAACCAGATTTGTTTGTCACGTTTTTTGTTTGCTAAAAAATTGAAGAAACCAAATGGCATGTAATTTTCTTGGGCAAGCAAAATCTTAGAGGGACTTCTATAACTCAGGATATGATGATTCTTAAGAATTCTTGAAAGTCATCAACCTAATATCTCCAGTGTATCAATGATCCGTCGAGTAAAAGCTATCGTACACAAGACTCTGAAATCACTATGATCGACTTCATCTTTGTTTGATTAGCTGTTCTCACTATCTTGAAAATTTATACAATTAAGTTCACGAGTAGAATCTTATTTTGATCTTAATTTTGCACACCCAAATTACTCTTTAGGAGGCATTTGTTCCGAAATAAACGACCCACCTATTAATGTCCAGCCTCCACCCTTTGTGTGGTGGTTAGGAATTCTTATACGAAAGAGTGGTCTTTAGGGATTGGTTGCATAGGTTCTACATATCTTGCACGTTCAATTAGGGTTGTCACTTCAAAGCAATAGTTAAGGTGGGTTAAAAAAATAAAAATTTCGTAGAAAAAGAAATATATATTGTCATGATTAAATAATAAGATGAATTTCGAGGCATGTTACAACGTTACAAAGAAATATATATCGTCATAATTCTTTTATATATATATTAAATAATTGTAATCTCCTCCAAATCGAACTGACAAAATTATTAAAGAGAATGGAAAACAAAAAAGTCCAAAACAACGTGGATGTTATCTAAAAAGTTATTGGAGAAGATTACAATTATTAAAGAAGAAATAAAGATGAAAAAGAAATGGCTGAAGATGGGACAGACATGCCAAATGTATCTTATGATAGAAGAAATAAAATTAACTTGATACTTATTATCTTCCAGTTTTGTGGCTTAAACAGTGTTATAGTATTTTACACGTGTTATATACAACAATTACATACACAAAGATACACATTTTGGAAGCATACATATCACATGCGACGCCTCAACAAAAGATAATCAATGACGTTAAAAAATAAATGTCACGATTATCACGTTTAAAGTCGATTTCGGCGGACCTTCCCCTCTACCCTTTGTAGGAGCAGTACGAATAAAAATGTCAGAAAAACTCGATGCTAACTTGGCTCGATATTCACTACGTCCATTTTTTTGGCTCATGATAAGAATTAGTGGATGAGTAGTTTTTCTCCCTTTTTCTCTAATTAATGCCATAAGTCTAAAAACATATGAAATTATATTGCAATATATATTATTAATTTTTGCAAGTGCTAGCCACATGGTATACAAATTGTGCCCTATGTTTGAAATGATCTAGGTTATATATATGAACACAAGCAATTTCTACAATTTTCTTCTTATGAAAGTCAAGGGAATTGCAGAGCATATAATACAACATTTTTAAAAATAAAATTAGAATACTCCAATTAAAATGTAAGTATTCAATTGGGATTTTTGATGACTTTAATTTCCGTGAATTTTTTGTAGACTTGTATGGAATTAGTGAAAGTATTTCATAGATTTTTATAAACTTTCATTTTAAAACTTTTATAAACTTCTGTAAAATTTAAAAGACTTTTGAAGACTTTCATATGAAGTTGAATTCACGTGAACTCAATGCAATAATTAAAAACAATTTTCCTTCCGTTTCCCCTTCCCCTCCTCATAAAATAAAAAGTTATTTTAAAAGAACTAAAAATTGAAGACCTAAATTATAAATAAATAATAATCAAAATTATATATATAAAAAAAATAATTTTAAAACTTTATGTTATAAACATAATATACCTTTAAAAATAATAAAACATTAATATATTTTTGCCATATAAAATATTATAATTAAATAAAAATAGATATTTTTTCACAAAAAAATGAATGAAAAAAGGAAAAAAAAGTTATAAGATTTCAATTTAATTTTTTCATAGAATATAGAGACAAACAATAAAAGAGAGAGAAAGATAAATAGAAACAAATATAATCAATAGAAAAAAAGTAAATTTTAATCATAACTCTAATATTCATAGAAGGAAAAATGAAAGAAAAATATTGAAAAATCATGAAAGTTTCTCAAACTCTTGTGATTTTGAAAGACAAATTTTGAGATTTTATATGGATACTTTTTGTTTAAAACTTAGTACCCTAGATTTTTATAAAAGCTTTTAAAAGTCATTAAAATTTGATCCTAAAACTTATAGAGACTTATAAAAAGTTTTAATTGAGTACATCGCAACTTTTATAAACTTTTTAAAAGCCTATAAAAATCTTAATTGAATATAACAATACTTTTAGAGAGTCTCATTTACATTGAATATTCCTAAACTTTTTAGGTTCTAAAAAGTCATTAAACGTCTCAATTGAATACATCCCCTTAAAAATGTTATCTAATTCCATTTATTATTATTTGCCCATCACATTCTTTTTTAGTTTCCAAATTTCACTTTTAAAAAAAACCTAGGGTGAACCTAACGTGCTTGTAAAACACATTTTACTGAAGGTCCGTTTGATTGTAAAGATGGAAAAGACAAATTAATTTCATGTAAGTTGAAAAAGAAAAAAAGAATTTTACTAGATGTATATTTCAGTGTACATCTTTCATGACATTGCTCCATATATGGCCCCATTTGGGTAGTGATGTGAAAGGGTGTTGGGGAAATCAAAGGCTAGGATAATGCCATGTAGAAGAATGTAAAGTTTAATGTAAAGAAAGATGTACATGTAACATGATTCAAAGAAAAACCATCAAAATCATAGGAATTCGATTTCCACTCAATTAATAAAAAACATGCTTTAAGTTTTTATACCTTGAAATTCAAACTCTATTTCCACTTTCATATCAAGCAGCCAAAAAAAAAAACGAATTCCTCGTATGCTATATTTTTCATGGAATTTAATGCTATCAAACGGATCCTAATATTAACTTCTTTTTGTACTTAATTCAAGTTCTCCCTATAGTCAATTCTGACGGGCTTGTAAAACAAATATTAATACAATTTTTGTTTGTTCTATTAGATTTTTCGATCCATTCTCATAATTTCTTTGTTTAATAAGGGTTTAATTTATGGACTTTGTTACTTGTACACTGGAGTGTCAATCCAGGTGTATAAAGCCCCTCATAAGAGGAGAGCTCACATTTTTTTTTTTAATTTGTCATTGGTCCCCTCTTATGAGCGGGTTTGTATACTAGGATGTAAACCCAATATACAAATAGAAAAATCCTTAATTTCTATTATGTTAGAAATTTAAGGAGTTAGGATGCACTCAAGACTTGATGATCTTAAATAACCCCATTTGACCATTAATTTTTAAAATTCATTTTTCATTAAATTTATTTTTAACCACTTTCTTTATGAAACTCACTACTTTTATCAAATTTTTTAATTATTTATTTTATTAACTTTTATTAAAATCTAGTAAAAGTATGATTTTTATCTGAATCAAACGGTTGCCAAATCGAAGATAAATTGAATAGCAATGAGGAAGAACGTATACGTACTAAAATATATTAACTGCCATAAAAAATTACAATATGTTTTTTGACTAATGTATCTAATGTTTTAACGAGAAAAGGCAAATATCTAGGAATTTGGACAAAAGCACAAAAGGATCTGCTAAAGATCTGGTCTTATCCGGTCGGTCCAACTTGACTCATAGCATCCACAATCTCTTGTTCTCCATCACCAGTTATACAAAGGAATCATATCATCACCACTTTTAATTTGTTTCCTTAATTTGTTCTCTTTTTTGCTCCTGCAAATTCCCTAATACCATGAACAGGTTCATTAGAAAAGTTACATTAAAAACGTAACATGTATACAATTTTTATAAAGAGGTATAGTAAAAGCTTGACCGGCTTTCTTAGTAAACAAAAGTTGTTGGTTTCATTAGTTCAACTAAGTTCATAGTTTCGAATTTCTAAACAAATCGATATTGAGAAAAAAATGTTTTTCAATCACTAACGAGTCAAATCATTAACTAATAATGCTTAGCGGAATATGGAGGTACTTACAATAAAAAGGGCCAATCTTTAGGAAAACTTGTCCAACTGTACTCATGGATTTTATTTTTTAATTGTCAATATAGACTATAGAGTGTTGATGACAACGTTTAAATAATTACATGTCGTCCCTTTTAATAGTTTAAATTTTTAGATGCGATATCAAAGTCTTTAAGAATCTAGTCCACACATGAGAGAGTTTGTTCAGGAAAACTTGTAAACAAATACACGTATCCTTTCTCTAATAACTTAGCCTCGGTTTGAAAAAGAGAGGATATAAACGCTTTAAACTATAAATAAATAAAAATTAGTGTATAAATGAATAGTACTTATGGAGCCATTAATTTATGTGGTTGAAAAGAAAGTTTGTCCATTACAAACTATTAACAAATTTTGCCAAATGAGGGGTTAAACCTTTTGATGTGACAGCGGAGAAAGCAACAAAATCTGGTATATGGCACAATAATAATATATAATTGGGTGAAAGTTTGCTAAAATAAGCGACTAGAGTTTTCTACGATATCCAATTGGCTAATGATGTTTTGGGATTCCTTAAACATAATAAAGTAGGACAAAACATCATTGAAAAGATAATAATCTTTTTAATCTATGATTCGTACTTATTAAGAATTAATCATACTTTAATTAGACAATGATTGATTGCTTACCTAGATACATTTATGAACACAAATTGTAGCTGACTCCTGGCTGATTCATAGTTTTTTGTCTTTGTTCATCCAATTCCCACAAGAACTGTCCATTCCCCTGAAAATGACATTATATTCGTCATTGATTTACCAGTATTTGCATGTAAATTGGACAATTCTCAGGGTTAAGTACTGGGAAAAAAAAAAACTAAAATCTTTGTTCGTATGTACCTTGGAGAAGATATTAGGCACTTGGCCTGGTTGAAGCAGAAGGATATTAGACGAATTATCCGGTAGAGGGTAGTCATTTGCTGCTGTTTGTATAGGGCTACACTGCAAGCCGAGTAAATTCTGCATGTTTATGTAACAAAGAAAATAATTAAAATTGAAAAATAAAATATTACTAAAAAGATAAAAATAAATTCATGTACCTGATTAGGTCTAACCATGAATGATTCCAAGTCCATTCCGAAGTCGTGGAACATTGGATTAGTTGAAGCGAGCTTCATTGAGAGAAACTAAATATATATATCGAGATGAAAATATTTATCAATTTTATAAATTAATATTGTATATAATCAATCCTAATTTCTTGTTCCTAGTGGATAGAATAAAATTTTACATTGCTGATATGACAGGAGAATCTTAGTTATGTTTCCCTGAAAGGGTCATAAATCCAGATAATCATCACTAAAGTTCTCTTACCACGTTAGTGGTGAAAAGTTTTTATCCTATTAACTGAGAGTTGGAGATCAATTCTATGTATATAATAAGTTAATTTGAAGGGGAAAAAGAGAATTTATACCTCGATTTGATTTTGAAGGGACTGGACATAGTTGATTATTTCATCCAACATAAGGGCCTTCCCAGTTACCTGTTCATCACTCAACCCACATGAAGCTGTCGGATAAAGAACTTCCAACAAATTGAATTTCTAAACATTGAGACTACCGAGTTGCCAAATTTGGAGTATAATAATAAATTTGCAAAATTTCTGTCGAGTCGTGAGACTGAATGAGGCTACGAGCCATAAAGACGTTGTACTCGGTGCATGTATGATGACAACGAGCATGACTAGAATGAATGAAAGTTAATTTCTTTAGCTCTTTCTTTGTGCGCCTCATCCTCGGACGAAAAATGTTTTATTTATTATTATCTATAATATTCACCTTGTCACAACCAGGAACAAGAGCTTGGAGAAGCTTCATTTTTTCAGTTATTCTTTCCCTCCTCGCCTGATATAAATTGAAAAACAAATTGTGAAAATTTATATTCCAAATTCGGGTAATTTAATAGGATTTTTTTTTTCTTTTTTTGTGGAAATTAAGGTAAAAAAATATTATGTAAAAGAAATAATTAAGAGACAGTATATATTACTCTTTCTGCAAGACTGTGGCCATCTGTTGCTTGGCCCCTTCTTGCTCTTACATGAATGTAGCCTGTCGGAGGTTTTTCTTCAGCTTTTTTCTCGTCTTTCTTTGTCTTCTCTTTCTCGTCGACCTCTTTGCACTTTTTGGGCTTCTTTATTTTGGCTTCTCTCGCATCCTAATACACACATGAACTAATGATCAATAAGTAGTACTCGACATGACTAGATTATATAATTAATGGACGGAATTTTAATGTGTATGAATATCTGTGTAAAAAAAATCGTCCTTGGATTGAGCAGAATTTGCAGAAGAACCCACTTTCAATTTCCTCTTCTTCTTGTCCATAAAGAGAATTGGATTTGGTTTTGTTATTGATGAAGAATTATCCATGCTAATGTTCTTGTGTGTTACATGGCTCAGAGAAGGCTCGATATCGCTAATCAGAGTCGAAAATTTTGTGTGGCTCTGATCGAGATTTTGAAGAGTTTCCGGCTCATAAAATTGAAAAGAATGCGTGTTCGTAATTTCCTCGATAGAGCCACACATTTTATTGATGGGAGAGTTTGGCAGATAAAGTGACGAGTCGAATTGAAAAGAAGGAAAGGCAGCCATTTTTCCCGTGGTTTGAAGTAAACGGAAGAGATTGAATTTGTTGGTTTGAGTGAGAGTAATTCTCAATAGGTCTTGTTTATATAGGGATGCGGATATGCGTCTGGTTGCTCACTTGCTGTCTCTCTCACACACACTTTCTTATCGCGCAAGGGATTTTCGAAACAGTAGCAGAAACAGAGTTTTCCAATGATCGAAAAATGTTCAAATGGTACATGTATTTTGTTTTGATACCGTTATTTATATCCATAGTTTTTATATATACATCCACTTTTAAATAGATAATTATATTATATTTTTGATCTTATGTAAATTTATCAAAATAGACATATATAAAATTAAATAAAAATATATTGTTCTAAATTCATCCGCTAATGTTTATTTTCATAAATTCTTTTAAACTTTTTTATATTCTTTTAGAGCTTTTGTTTAACTAAAATTCTAATAATCATGAAGCATCATAATTAAAATCATAAAACCTTAATCATAAAATATTATCTTAACTGGAAATTTAAAAAATAAAAAATCAACACATTATTAGAGTTATAATTTTTTTCATAATATGAAAAATGGAATCATATTTTTTTATGTTTTTTTAAGTATTGGTTTGACAGATGAAAATATTCGAGAAAAGTTTCAATACTTGTCCAAATATTTTTAAATTATAAAAGGAAACAAACTTAAAACTATCAATCGAAACACAAACAATCAAAATTATGAGTTTATAAAAAAAAAATTGATTAATATATGATTCGAAGAGGGATTTGTTTGGTTAAGTGAGCAGTATATTTGTGACAAAATCATTTAAATTCAAAAAAAGAAAAAAGAAAAAAAGATCTGCTAACGTTTATAACTAAATATTAAACTACCGACATAACAATATAGAAAATAAAAGTAAAAATCAGATTAAATGTTGATAGTGATTGGATGAATAAAGTAATTTTCGAAATTATATTAGGAATGTATTTATAGTGGAATGAATATTTAATATTTAAATGAATAAATTTGATAAGGACAATATTATAATTTGATGTTCACGAAAATAATATATTTTTTTTAAATTTTAAAATTTTAATAGGGATATATATAGAGTGAGTGCATATATAAAATCTGTGAATGTAAATAACGGTATCCTTTATTAGTATTATTATTATTATTATTATTATTATTATTATTATTATTATTATTATTTATTTTTGAGAGAATCCAAATTTCTATATAGATTTAATAAAAAAAAAATTCAAAATGTTGAGCGAGCGGCCACCACCCGCCCCGGCACCTTGTGGCTCTGCCATTTTCTTGAAGTAAAGCTCAACCAGGGGCGGCTTGCCCATGCCCATTTAGTTTTTATTAGGTTAAAAAAGTTTTTTATTTATTTTTATTTTTTTTGCTATGTATCAATATAATATTTTTTAATCCCCCTCCCGGCTTAAATTAATAGTATTTGAAGTGCCCTCAGGGCACATCTCCAAGTGGTAAAAGGGGAGGGTAGAAAAATCCAACTTTGTTTGAGGCTGCTGCGTCAAGGGTTCGAATCCTGAAATATGGATTTGGCTTTTGGGTAAGTGCAAGTGTACAAGCAGCCTTCCACTCTATATCCTTGGAGGCATAACCTGCGATTTACCTTCCTCACGATACTCCAGGACAGGGACGATGGGGGACCCTTAAAGTTGGGGTTCAACATTTTTTTTAATAGTATTTGAAGTGAATTCTAGAATTTGAAAAGGACTCAATTATGCTTCTCCTGGTCACCCTCTGAATGTAGTTGAAGGAATGGGTGAAGTTGGAGATATTGATGATATGGCCCAAATTGAAATTTCAAGTCAAGTCTATGTCATTTCTACAGTTTGTACTTTTTATTTTTATTTTTTATTTTTCACATATTTGAGATAGGACATAGTACACATATCTAATCTTATGTTCACAATTGGTAAGAGTTATAATGTCACCGTGAACATGACAACATGTGGTGTTACCACATCAATAGTGGAGGTATAACGTGTTGCCATCACTTTTTGTCACGCATAATAGAAATTATAACTCCTACCCATTGTAGGCATGAGATGAAAAACGACATATTATACGTACATGAACGTTCCAACAAGTTCAACACCTCTTTAGGATTCATATAATTTATCAATCCAAACATTTTACTAGTAACATCGAAGTGGAAGAACAGAAAAGGATGGATAATCTATTAAAAAAAATAAAAAATAAAAAATAAACAAATGCAAAAGTAAAATCTAGAACTGCCCCTTGGGGCACAGCTCAACTGGTGGATCAATCAACATTTGTCTTGCTTCCAGTGACAGGGTGGAGGTTCGAATCCTGGCGGGAACCTGTGGCCAGATTTATTTGGTATGGAGCAATCACTTTGGAGGAGGATCTCTTGTACGTAGAAGTCTACAGGCGGTGGGGGAACCTGTGATCCAGTTGAGGCATAATCCGCGATTTACCCCCTCCAAGGTTCTAGGGGCAAGCGTTTTGGAGGTCCATAATTTAGTCTAGTGTAAGTTGGGATACCTGAATATCAAAAAAAAAAAAAAATACAAATGCAAAAGTATAATCTAGAATTGCTCACCACCAAATATGAGAAGTGATGCTAGAAACTCTTGATAATAGTCTGTTTGCAACACGGTTTCCTCACTATAAATATGTGTAATAACAACATTGATTCGAAAATTTGCTAGCTTTATCTATAAAGTAACTACAATTGCATGTTAGTTACTTTTTTGGACCGTATGTATCATTGAATCTTATGTGTGTAAGTATTGTCTGTGCTATACATGTACATAGTAATTTACATATATAAAATGTGGTGAGATATGATTGAGTCAGAATGTCTTAAAAAAAAATCACAATCTTTTTGATACCTTATTTGTATGCAAATCATTATGTAACTTCATTATGTATAAGTAACATTATTCGTGTACGTATAGGGGTCGCTTGGGATTTAGAACTGCTATAACAATTATTTGATTTTTGTAAAAAATATATTTTCGACAAAAGTAAAAATTTGAGAATCTGAATATAATGATAAAAAATTGTTTTCCATCGCTAATTCTAACATCTTTTTGAGAAATTTCTCCCTTGGTTCCCAACATATAGGCAGAAAGTTAGTTCTTAGGTAAAAGCCCCTTTGACAACCCCATGGACGTCTAGGGGGTTGTCGCTCAAGAATAACTCTAGCTCTTGATCTTCTATAGTGATACAAGTTGGTCGTCCATATTTCATTATAACTATGCAATATTTTCCAATTATGAAAACATTTATATCCCACTTCAAAGTTTTAGGTACAGTCTCAAGTTAGAGAATATTACCTTTATAAATTAAGATGTTAACGGTTTACATAGCATTTTATAGAAATTTAAATTGTTTTTCATGAACAATACTATTAATCACCAGTGGTATTCAAAATTAATTTAGATGATAGTTGATCTTCTAATTCGTTTTCTGACATGAAAGATGGTCATCAATAATAATGAATGGCATTACTCTTTTGTCATTGATAACTAACTATGTAATTATTATAAAGAGTTAGAGACCAATTCATGTGTGAAGATTCAAAGAAAAAAGAACAAATTAAAGAAAAAGTGGTTGCCAACTATGTCAAATCAATTTTTACACCAAATAAAATTATAAAGAAGCTACTGGATAGAGAAGACACATAAGACAAAAGGCATCATGTTTGAAGGCAGTACCCCATTCCTACCCCACTCAACCCTACATCCCCCAACAAAAGAAAATACCTTGTTGAATTGTAAAGAGGTGCTTGTGTTGCCATGAATTGTGGTGGGTGAATAAAGAAAAATGCTAAATGTACACCTTTTAGTGTACACTTAGTTTGACAGCTTTTAATACGGGTGGGGTTCGCAGGCCCCACCTTCAATTAGAGGGCTATCAACTGGAGTATACATCAAAGGTGTACACGTAGCATTGTTGGTCATATGACTTGGCAACTACATATTTTCCACAATTAATGAGCCAACACCTTAAATAGAAATTTTAAGTACTCCTAAACAAGTTCTAATAATGTGGTTTTTAGTATGATATCAAAACACATGAAGATCAGTATGAGTTTCAGTATAGAGCCCATTCGAATATTAAGTAAGTTAGCCCTCGATTTATCAATGACCTCCAATTTTTAAAATTTATATATCAGTGTCTTTGTTTTTCTTATGAAAATTTTATTGGTAACTAATAACATTAAGAAAATAATTAAAGTCCCTCAAAAAATAATTAAACGCTATGAATGGTTTTTAAATTAGTAATATTTGAAACATAAATAGCTTAACAAATTTAATTTACCAAAGAAAATTTCATCAATAAATAAATTAAATATTAATCAAAAAATTTGTTGTGAATGATAAAAGTTTTAAAAAATAAGGATGAATGACCCAAAACCCCTAACCTTTACTCATATTGCACATACCTTTCTATCCTTTAATTTTGTTAGAATACTCCTTTTTTCAGTGAAGAAAGCATTCCCACCGTCCAAATTCGATAGTGGACCATTAAGTTCACTTAAGAGGGCCAAAATGAATAAATTTTGAAAAGGCAATACAGTTTTTCCTCACCTCTCAACTTCTCAAGGGCAAAATGATATATATATATATTTTTTACTAATTTTAAAAAGGAAAAATGATAAATTCATTTTTTTTTCAAATAAAATAATTAAATAAAAAATTATGAAACCCCACCCCACCCAAAACCCCAATTCATTGTCCATTGATCATATGCCATTGCAGCTTCCTCCTCCATATCATAAGTAACCACCAAAGCCTAACTTTCAGGGATGGATCTCTTATCTCCATCGCCCATTTTTCCTAAGGCATCTGCCTAACACCCCGGAACATTGTAACGCCACCATTTGTCATTGTCACCTCCTTTAGTCACCTTCATCGACCTCTGCTTGGGTTGAAGACTCTTCTAACAATTAGTACCACTACTTTTGGCATTTTGCATGGATTTTACTAGATATCTAATTTTGATTTCATTGGCATACTTTTAAACTCGCCATCGACTGAAAAGCTTGTCCTCTTTATCACTGGAGGGATCTGTTGCATAAGGATCAGTTACTGATATTCGAACAATTCTTGTACAATTAAGATTAAATTCTTCATGAGTTCTTTTGGGCTTTT